TCAAACTGACGTCCATTTTGATCATGACACTGCTGACAACGCGAAGCAATGGCATCGTACATACCATGAAACAATGCTCTTGGTATTTGGGTTCATTAATTTTCAGAGGCTTCTTTTAATTCAGCAACTGTTGCGGTGGTCAAAATGCAGTGAAAAAAAAAACAATATAATTATACTTTTTGATATTTTTACTTTTTTGACATAATAATAATAAACATCAAGTTTACAACTATTTAAAATGTGTATACATTTTTGGGACACCCTGTATTTTAGGCAAACAAGCATGTTGTACTGCCCATGCCTTTGAATAACCATTCATCAAACTGTAATTCAGTGTGCAGTAACATACATTACTAAAAAACCCATTCAATCGACACTACAGTTGCGGGCATCTTTTGATATTTTCTAGAACAAACGGCAACTTGTAACAAAAATCCTTGTTAATTTCCCCCTTTAAAGCTAGTCTGCAAACGTAATATCGAGATAATACACAGTATGGCATACTTCATAAGCTATTAGGATCCCAAAAGAGACTATGCTCACTTAAATTGATTCACACAAGACGGTGCAGCGGAAACTGATGAATCACTATTGTCAAAAGACAATTTATGAAAATCCCTAAAACAGGATAAGAAACGAAAATACTGGCTGTTCAAAGCTAAATCGCAAATAGACCAGATCCAATGGACGATTTTGAGAAAACAGTTTACAAAATTATTCCTTATTTGTTCTAGAGCATCCTCCGTAGTTGTGGGCGTCAAATTATGCCTGCTAGGACAAAACGCCTTGCAGCATTTGCAAAACATTTGGTCAGTAAATAGACAAACATGAGTATTTGGCGGTACTCCATTGAAGATAGACAGAATGTAAGTGAAATGCTAACATTTAACGAAGTAGCAGACCGCATATGCTCCGTTCGAAAAAGTTAACCTACCTTTATCGAGATTTTAACAAAGTAACTAAACGCGTTCAAACGACGTTCGAGATAAGTTTGATTTTACTTACGTCATAATTGATCTATATCTGGGTAACGAAATTGAAACTATGTCCGGAACACCAAAAGCAGATAAAACAAATATAGAGACTTTTTTTCCAGCTGCTAGTCCTAATCTGCGCACAAGGGCGTTCAGCGCGCTGACGAAATCGGAAGCGAACTCTCAGTTTAGGGCAAATTTGTCGGCCTCCCAGTCATCACAAAATCTACGCCCTGTCCCCCTCAGCTTCATAATTAGCTGGAGGACTGTCTGTTCCATTTGAGGGAAAAATAACATTTACTCCAGCCGATCCAATTAAATGAAAACCAATTACTTAAAACGTCGGCTACG